TCTGTGCAGAAGGACAGTCGCAACGTCATTAAACTTTGTAACAAGGAATTGAGAGCACTTGTGATCCAGGAAACCAAAACCAGCAGTCCACAGAGCCTGGGGTTCATGATGACCATGTAGTGCAGCGGGTGACAGATGGCTACATACCAGTCATAGGCCATCACAGCCAGGAGAAAGTTCTCCAACCCTACAAACAATGTAAAAAAGTAAATCTGCATGATGCAGCCTGCATATGTTGTGGCCTTGCTCTGTATCTGGATGTTCACCAGCATCTTTGGCACAGTGGTGGAGGTGAAGCAGATGTCCACAAAGGACAGGTTGGAGAGGAAGGAGTACATGGGCGTGTGCAGGTGGGAGTCTGAGATGGTGGCCAGGATAATGAGCAGGTTCCCCAGCACATTGGCCAGGTACATGGACAGAAAAAGGCCAAAGATATGGTGTTGAATTTCTGGGTCCTTTGAAAGTCCCAGAAAAAGAAATTCAGAAATTTGTGTGAAATTCTTTGAATCCATGTGCTGTGAAGAGAAAAAATTGAACATGAGTAGTTTTTGAAACCAATCCCTTTTAGGGTGACCCCAGTGCCATTCCTAGTTAGCAGACTTCTTCCCTAATAAGCTTATTTATTCCTATTTAGAAGTTGCAGTCCTTCTCTACTTTTTCCTCAGCATGGTTTTTATTCTACCAATGAACAATCCTTCTATGTCCTCGAGGAAGGGGCCTTGAGTTCCGATCCTGTTCCTGGCCCTGGCTCTGCAGTGGGCACAGCGTGCTGAAAATAGAAGACCCTAAGTTTTCATTATGGAGAACAAATGTATGTAGACAATTATTAAAAACAGCAGTTCTTGGGGCTGGAGTTGTAGCTCAGTGGTAGACCACCCACCTAGCACATATAAGGCAATGGTTTTGATCCTCAGGACCACATAAAAATAAATAAAGGTATGTGTCCAACTACAACTATATTTTTTAAAGCAGCTCTATAATAGGGTTTCTAATGCTTTCTCCATAAAATGATGATACCTTTTGAGGAGCTAGATTTAAACATCAGAGTGTACCTAGATAAACACATCACAAGGCACAACATGCATGTGTGTAAGTGATATGTAATAGTAAAAATTAACAAGAAACATCTTCATAATACGTCCTCATAATGTCACATGTATAATCAATATGAATCCAACTAGGACAGATAAGAAGGGAAGGAGATAGAGAGGCTGTTCTTCAGGGGGTCCAGGTAAAGGAGTCAAAGGTGACACTTGAGCAGAGGCCTGCAAGAGAGGAGGGTGCCCTGAGGTGGTCTGCAGAGACCTGGGCCTGGCAGGAGAAGTGAGCAGTGCAGAATCCTGAGGACAGGGCCTACTGTGCACATTCTCATTTCAAAGGAAGCCACAGGGAAGGAGCTGCCTCCTGGTTTCTGTGGAGATGTGGAGATTCTCAGGAGGGGCCTTTGTTCCCCTGCTCTCT